CTTTTATCTCCTCAATTCAAGAACAAATGCACAAATTTTAAGAAGAAATTACTTATCTAGATTTTGTTTTTTTCCAGTGTAAAACAGAAAGGATTTTAAGGCCTATATTTTCTCAGGAAATATATTATTAACATTTACCACATTATAGTTTTGTACGCTTACTATTTTTAGATAAGGAAAAACTTAGTTTAGGTATTTTTTTTTTACAAAATACAATACAATCTGGTTACGCAAATGAGATGATGGTACGGATCGTGCTTCCAGGACGGATTGGAAGAAAACTTCTGTATCAATTCAAGACGAAAGATTTTCTAAAAAGTAGCCAATCACAGGCAGTTCACTTTTTCTGGTTCCAGCCTCAAAATGACAAAAGTTGACATCTGCGCACAGAAACAGATCCATACAGGAGCAGGAGATCATCTACAGGAGCATAAAAAGCAAGAGAACGCAGAGAAGGAGCATAAACTTATGGGTGTGACATCTTAGGGGTTTTATGGAGTTAAAAGTACAGTTTATATAAAACATTGAAAATGTGCATGGAGATTAGTTAGTTTGTGTTTTAAATAAAACGGCTGGTATCTATATTTATTACGCACATTCCCTTATGACAGAACTTTAAACTTTACATGAAAACCACGGTTTAGAGCATACATTATGTATGCAGAAAGGCGATGCCTCTGTGAGATATTTTTTCAGGTCTTGGCAGGACCTTTTTATTTCTTATTTTAATTATCAGTCTATGGGCGTGCAGGTGGTGCAATGGTTAATGCGCACGACCCATGTACAAAGGCCTTAGTCCTCGACGCGGCCAACTGTGGGCCTTTGCCGCATGTCTCTCCCTCTCTCTCATAACCCCTTTCCTGTCAGCCTACTGTCTGAAAAAACGAGCCACTAGTGCCGTAAAAACTCAAAAATAAATAAATAAATATTGGTCTATATCTGATGGAAGTTAGTGCAGCCAAAGTCCAAAGAAAAAACCTTCAGAAAGGTTCATCTCGATCGCTTTAAAGGATTTTTTACCCTGTTTTAGGTGAAGAACGAAAGAAAGGGTTTAAAACTTTTACGCAACACCTTCATCTGCTGAAGAGAATTCCAATCAGTTTTTTGTTGAAATCATCTCAAGCTTGTAGTCTCGTGACACCATCCTGATCTCGCGAGCTTTCAAGGTTTCAATCGCAAATCAGTCTAGAGACTCTCCG